AGCGGTTGGCGGGGTGCACCCACACACAAGCCATAGCCGGGGAAACGAACCCGCGCACATCGTGCTACGGCCGCAAGAAAAAAAATGACATCGTCCTCCCTTGCTTCGCGTCGTTAAATTATATATAGTCTTTCTTTCGCCCTTGCTCGCTTGTTCTTTATCGTCGCCTTATGTTAATATTACTTCTATTCGACGCAGAACCCGTTACGAAACTTACACGGTCCTCCTTCGCTTTTTTCTCGCTCCTTAATATTCTCCGCTATGCTTCAAACTACCCTCCATTTGCCAGGCTTCATTATATCCTGATGTTAATTTCTCTCTCTCTTTCTCTCTCTCTCTTCGAAGGCGATGATCTTTTTGGACAAGTACCTAAAATTTCGAAGCGACGAAGAGAGGAGGCTAGTGAAAAATGGCAATTGTGATTTAGTGTGATTTTTTTCTTATTTTACGCTTCTCTTGCTTTTGTTTCTTTCTATTCGTCGGTTATGTCTATTCTGCGCGTATAAATCCAAATCCACAAAAGTCAGCCGAGCGTTCTCCATCTTGGAGCTGATCGATACATGGATCTGAAGAACGGATCCATGGTGAAGGATCGACGAAGAAATGCTTAGGAGGAGGCATTATACGAAGGCACGTAGCGGCAGGATCGGTTGCTCGATGGACTGGAAGCTGGCGGATCACTTCGAAATGCCGTCTTAAACCGAACCAGGAAAGGCTGCAAGTACGTACTCGTGTACGGCCAGTGAGCACGTACACGTCGTATTACTGTGACCGAGTATCTAGCTTTCGTGGTTGCCTTCAGGGATCCTGCTGAGTTCTTGTTTTCCTTTTCACATAGGTATAAAAGAATATTTAAGAGACTTTCGCGGACTTGACGAGCAAGGAAAAAGGTAAAAAAGGAAAAAGAGAACCGAAGAAAAAAATTGGATCGTGTAAAAATACGCAGAAGAGAACCAAAGAAAGAGAACGTTGAAATAAAAGAGAGAGAGAGAGAGAGAGAGAGAGACAAGAAGAGAGAAACAGAAGGAAAAATCGTGCTCGTACGTACGCTTATACGCGTGCACGTTTATAGATATGCTTGTCAGTTAAGTACGAGCATGTGTGCGTGCCCCGTGGCGTGCACCCCGCCGACAGGCCTCGTCGTTTTCGACGAGACCATCGAAAACAATCGGGACAATGGGTCTTCAAGCATTCTTATTTATTATACTTACATGGCACTGTACACTATACATGACGCGAGTGAATGGGAGAGAGGCCGCGGTTAGACGAGATGTGGAACGCGCGTGTGCATTTCGTTTGGGGGGAGAAGCCCCACACGAGTAAACGTGCGTGAAAGAAGAACGCGATTTTTGAATCGTGCAGTATACCAGGTATAAGGGAACAGCGGGAAAGGCGTCCACGAAGAAAAGGTTAAAGAGAGTTGTTTTGTGAACGGTCAATTGACAACGTTTCGCGATGTTAATGGCCGTCCGCCTTTTAATAATATACCTTCCTTCACAGTTCTTCACGCGCCACTCGGAAGGCCCTTGCTAATTATTGTAATTCGAATCTCATTGTCCGTTCTATAGTTCCTGGTATTAGGCAGCTGAATTGTAACATCAATACGCACGTAACTGTTATTATGTTCCGTAAACACTAGAAATAAAGAGAACGAAATTTTTTTAACTTTTACACCCTGGGTATTTAGTAATTAGTAATTAGAAGAAAATGCGATATAATAATCAGTTGATCCATTACAGGTATATAATATAGATCGAGAAAAGATGTATTGCGACGGTACTTAAAATTTAGTTTCCTCGCGATTCTCTAGTTACAGTTTCTTTTTAATTTTCAATCTTTTCGATTAATGCACTCTTCCTCGTCGGAAGTTTATTTTCGAAACATTATTCCGTTATTCGTAATTCGATTGACGATCTTATGAATTTAAAGGATGCAACATCATTTCAAGATTATTATTAAGATAGCGAAAAGTAATAATTATTGTTACATAAGAATGCTTCGATTAATGTCAAGCATGGCTATGATCTATTAAATATTAAATTAGTTGTGCTTAATAACGAAATATAAATTCTTTTTTATAGATATACTGAGCTACATTGTGTCTAATGTTTTTTACTTTTTTAATGTTTAGAAGTTATCCAAGTATTTGATTTGCAAGATGATATTTTCTACTTCGTTTAGTGGATCGTTAAAGCGGTATCATGGAATGAGTAAAAGATAAAGGAGTTAATCCTGAGTTTACATGTATTACGCTGAAGATCACTGGTTGTGTATAGAGATATCTATACGCGTATTCCTAATGCCTCTTATGCGGGTCTCATTGTGCAACGATCTCTTGTTGCCTGTAGAATCGTTACGAACAAAGATTCTCTAGAGGATATATCATCATCCTTTTACTGTGCTGAACAATGATGGATGGGTAGATAATAAGAAAAACTCAGTACACCACAAGAATGTTCTGGAACGTGGTAGGATATCCAATGAAATTTAGTAGACCTATGATAATCAACCTGATTATTACATTATATATATAATATTATAATATTATAATATTATAACATATATAATATATTAAAATTAGATTGATTACAAATGTAGATAAGAAAAGTAAGAAGAAATATTACCTTGTTGAGTTGCTGCGTTTCTCTCCTTTTATTACCGCACGTATATTTTCAAAAAAATAAATAAAGGCTAAGGAATACAGTTCATGGTTCTTCGAGTTCTCCAATAGAAAAAGCTTGATTGGTTTTGAAAATTAAGCTGATACATTGCGACTAAGATTCTTTTTCTCCCTTAAAATTGAATAATTCTCAAATAAACAGATAAAGAGTTGAAATCTCTTTATCTTTCAATCTCTTTATAGCTGTTGAATCTCTCGCAGTTATAAAACCGTCGAGTCGTTTTAGAACTTTCTTCTTCAAAGGTAACCAGCACGCATCGTTCAACTCTACGATCGTTCGATCTCTGCCGCTTCGCCTAGTCAAAAATTTGTCAATCAACAGGCGAATGAACTTTGAAAACATGCAACAATGGCAACGGCGTAGCCAGGCCCTCGAGGATCGTCATGGACCGTCGAAAATTCGGTGTCCACTCGAACAGCACTTCGAGCCTCGCGTGTGCGCGCGCGTGTGTGTTTCATAGCGGCAATAAAACGTCATTTTTCGCGGGACCGTTTCGGAAAAAGAACCGGGCGAAAATATGGGAAAGTTTCGCCGGTGGTGGATTGCCGTTCCGAAATGAACGGTACAAAATGATTCTGCGTTGCGCGCCGGTGCTCCACGAGTGGTTGCACGATCACGCGCTAGCCTGTTGTAATGGATGAGTCCCGATGCCGGGATGTATATTGCCAAAGTACTTATGGCAGCACGTTTATGGCATACAGGCTGTACAAGCCTGGCAGCGGCCGACATGAAATCCAGTCGAGCACCCTCCATCCATGTCACGTCCGCCACTGATTAACATTAACTTCATGGAAAAAATTGTACCAAATGCCGGGCAACGTCACAGTTTTCGATTTGGCCGCGATGCCTGTCTGCCACTTTTTCGCCGTTCCTCACGTTTCCTGTTCCCCTGTATGACATGTTCGCAAACGTTGGGCCAGGTTTAGGTCAACTGCAGTCATCAATTGATCAACGGAAACAATTTTCTATCTGTTTCGCTGCTCTTTCGTCGTTTCTCACATTCCTATTCCCCTAAAAGACATTTGTATATACGTATGTGTGATATTTTGTACGTCTTTAAAATTCTTACAATTTTATAATTATTGTATAACACAATTTACGTAACGAGCATGTATCAATCCTCTTGCACCATTGTACTCGTACGTATCCCTGGATCCACGTTGGTAACAAATGAAGAATTGACCGTGAGATCGCATCTCAATTTGGACTTTAGAATTTCAAATATGTTTGGAGACACTGTTGCGTGTCAGGCGATGCGTTTGATTGTCAAATTAAAAGGAAACTGGGAGCGAGTTCTGTTCACCAAGACCCCTCGTCCCGAGATATCGAAGGCCCCCACAAAAGCACGCAGGGGTGCAGTTAATTCTAAAGCGATTAGGCGCACGCGACGGGGCAAAGGTGTCGACCTGCAATTGACAACGGGCCGAGGGGTCATGAAGGAACAGATCGCGAGAAGGGGAGACGAAAAATTAAATTAGTCGCACGTTCGATAGTAATCCCAGATTAATATACGTTGCCTGAATGTCAGGATACGTTTCAACGCCATGCAAATGATTTCGAACGTTTTCAAGGAGATTCCCAAATACTACTCGCAGCATTTGCATTTGCAATCAGGCGATTTCAAAAAGGTTTCCTCAATACTGCAATTACTCGCGAGAACAACTGGAAAAAGACAAGTTTTGTGAATTTTGGATTGTTGATGTTTTTAAAACTTGATACATATCTCTAACATTATGATGTTTTTAAAACTTGATACATATCTCTAACATTATGATGTTTTTAAAACTTGATACATATCTCTAACATTATGATGTTTTTAACACTTAATATCTCTAAAATTTCTTTCTGTTTAGAAATATTTCAAGACTGAATTAATTGGAATTCTTTCGCAATGAAATGTCTTAAAAACTCTTGAAGGTAGTTAACCTTAAAATTCAGTAGATGGAGATGAATACCTACTATGCTTCAGTCTTATACACACTCATTATTTTAACTGTCTTTCACATTGTATGTGATTATATCTCTCGTATACATTTACATTTTCATCAATAAAAATAGGTACCTGCAAGATTACATTTATTAATATGAAATTCATGTAAATATTTCTTTTTTACACATTTTTCTTATTCTAATTGCAAGAATTGTTATTATCAAACGAACATAACCAAGCAGCAGTGGCGCCTGCGGAACTGCTTCTCAATACGTGAACGTATTTATTTACGTCTGCTTTTAATGTTTAATTTTGTACAAAATTTTTGTATAAAAAAATAATAAAAATCCAGTGTATTTACACGTATATGTCGAAAGTTACAACACTTCCACGATTTCGAGCTACGAGCCGCCATTGTTAATCGGATCGATATCGATACTATTGATGATGTCAATCAATTCGATATCGATACGATTAACAATGGCGGCTTATGGCTTGAAATCGTGGAGCTGTTGCAGATTCTGACGTATACGTACACGCTGTAAATACAGTAGATTTTTATTATTTTTTTACAAGATCATTGACATAATAGTATCGATATACGTATGTATTGAAATTTTAATCATCTGTTGCTCAATGTATTGTAATGAAGTATTTATAATTATAAAAGTATTTGATTTTCAAAATACTTGTTCAATATATATACTGAGCAAAAAGATGGTTATGTATATATTATTTCATATTTATATATATTTATTTGTATATATTGCTATTATTTCATATACATCAGAAATATTAAACGAATATCGATATATGACGTAAATATAGATATCGATTCGGCGTAAGTAACTTCGATTTGATATCGATTGATACACACACACACGCACACATTATATATAACCTATGCTCTATATTTTATATCGATATATATTGATACTTCAACGAGTGTTTTGATATTCTTTCGTGATGAAATGCCTTAAAAACTCTTGAAGATAGTTAACCTTAAAATTCAATAGTATGGAGATGAATACCTACTATAGTACAGTCTCATACACACTCATTATTTCAACTGCCTTTCACATTGTATGTGATTATATCTCTTATATCTCTAAAAATATTTTTATAATTATAAATACTTTATTACAATATGTGAAGGAAAGGGATGACTATTATTTCAGATGAATATCAAACAGGTATCGATATTTTTATCGAAGTAACGGACATCGATACTATCGTGACATATCAAACAAGTATCGAAATTTTCGTAAAAGTATCAAACGAGTATCCGTATTCCTCATACCTACGTCTGGTGTCTCAGATAATATTCATAATCGTCATAATTTACAGGTTTGGCATCGATAATATTGATTCAATTTTCGATCATTAATCGCAACGAAACATTAAAAGGGAGCAAAACCAAGAAGGGAAAAGAGGACAGAGGAAAACAGAATGATCATCACACCGAGCATTCAACGGAACGTCATAATCCTTGCTGCGTTAAAATATTAGGTTAGGTTAGGTTGGGTTAGGTATTAGTGGTCGAAGACCACTCCAGTGCCTGGAAACGTTCTGTCCCGGAAATTATTCAAGCCGCAGTTCGATCATAGAAGACAATTTTAATATCGTCGAATAATGGAGGGTCTTCGATGAGAGAAGCCGAGGAAGGAGGAGAAGCCTAGGGGGGGAAGGCGGAAGGGGGGAGATCGGTGGCCTGAAAACCCGCGTTGCGTTAAGGTCACCGCGATAAGGGGACGATAGAATCGTGATCCTAGCGATCTGGCTACGTGGCGAGCATGTGGAAACGGTATTCAATATCGTTGCCCCTGGAAGAAAGCTGGATGGTAAAGTAGGGAGGGGATGGAAGGAGTAGGCATGCTCATTGTCACCGCGAAACTATTCCGGGCGGACCAGGGATCACGTGGCCTGTAAAAAGGACAATGGATCAGAAGTACGTGTCTCGGGATCGACATGATATTGGAACGAGGTTGCGCCGCTATTATGAAACAGAAAATTATAGAGGTATCTACATTTCTTTCTTTTTTCTTTGATATATAGAAGGCGTAACAGAAACAAATGTACAAATTTTGGGATGGAGATTAATTTATGATAGAATTTAGACGACTAAGAAAGAGGCTTGGGTTGTTAAATTGGCTCTGAACTTTTTATTATATTTTTCTTAATTACACCGAGTCAGGTCTTCGTGTCTTTAAACACGTTGAAATAGAAAGTAGACGTAGCAATGAATAATACTTTTAAAAAAGAACGACTTCCAGAAAGATCTCCGTATTTACATAGAACTAACAGAAGGTTCATCCAACAAACTGAATAAACGTTTACCACACAACTAATAGCACACTCCAATGACACAAAGTCCTCAGTTTGACCAATGAAGAAAAAGAGAGAAGAAACAATCGTCGATTCCACGAAATTGAAGAAAAAAAAAAACTACCAAGATTCAAGATTTTCAATTTGACAAATGGAATGAAAGAAGAAGAAGAAGAAGAAGAAGAAAGGTAAAAGTAGGATAAAGGTAAACGTGAAAAAAAAATTAGTTATAAATTCGAAAAAGGGGGAAAAATGGAAGAAAACAATGTCTAAAGATCTCGAGATCTTCCAACCGAGTTCTCTTTCAACTCTCCGCAAATCTTAACGAAAAGACGATAACACGTATTCTTACATACAAAAAATCCAGGTGGAGATCCTGACGGCAGCTCTTTCGACGGAAAAGAATACGAATCCCGTGTGTTCGATCTCAACATCGCGCGATGTTGAAGTGTGCAACAATAAAGCGGAGAAGAACGTTACAGGTACTTCTTTCACGCAGAAGACGTTGCATTCGTCGGCCGTGTGTAAGTAAGTAAGTAAGTACTTACTTACTCGTCAGGATTCTCGTGGAACGAGGACGAGAGTCGTGGTTCGTCGAACGATGTTTGAAAGGAGAATAGGGTCAACACGATGTAGAACCGATCTGCCTGTTCGACTGTTACCGAAGAAAAAAAAGAAAAAAAAAAAGAAAAAAAAAGAGAAGAGAAAACGTGGACGATAGGTGGACGTGGACGAGGAAAAGAGACGTGGGAGGATGGAAGCGGAGCCGATGGAGCGGACGATCCTTGTTATTGTAGCCATAATGGATGGGCAAACAGAAGGACACGAGATCGAAACCGTGGCAGGTAAAACGTAGCTCACGGTCTTGTTGTATCTGCGTAAAAGCTGTATCACGAGTCAAACATTACATAAGAATCCGATTTAACACGTTATACCGAGCCGAGCGACCATTCTATAAGATCGGTAAAAAGATTTTCTTTTTTTTTTTACTTCTAAGTAAAATTTTTTGAATACCAACGTACAGAGATCGAGAATTTATTCCTTGAAAGAGATTCCTTTGTTCTGTCGATGAGTATTAAAAGGAATTCATTTTCATTGTAATGAAACTATCTACAAAAGGAAAGTGAAGGAAATTCTTTAGTTAGAAATTCTTATCGTTAAATATTTAATCTACTGAAACGAAAAAGAAAAAGAAAAAAAAAGAAGAAAAAGAGTTAAAAGAGAGACGAAGGGAGAAGAGATAAAGATAATTGGAAAGAAATTAGTAAGTATGTAAGCCTCTGACTTCTGATCGCCGATAGGCAGCCGTTGTATTTCACTTACAATACGAAACGTAATTCAATGGTGAACAAAAAGCGGCGGATTCCATTGGAAGGGGATGCCGGCGCGCGGCGGTGGAAACGGCGTCGACGCGTGTAGGCGAGGGCGACGACGATCATTGAAATGGAAATGCCATTGACGCAAAGTGAAAGTAATTAATGGAATATGCCCGGGTGATAGAATGAATTTGATGGCGGCGCGGCCTTGTCGGTCGAAACGCCACGGTCCGGAACAGTGAAATACGGGCACGTATAACCGACGATGAAAGGGCGGCTTTGAGCGTGGAGGTGGAGGAAAAGTAATTTCCTTCCGGCAGGATGGGACGTGAGTTTCTGCCGTTTCGATTCTCTATCTTTGAAACTTTCGAGTGCCTTGATGATTTATCTATATATTTAATCAATTAATTGAGTCTTAACTGTGATTACAACATCACAAGTTACACGTGTACATATACCTATGTAAATACATCTATATGCATGTAGGTGTATCAACATTTGTGTGCATGTGTACTTTTCAAATCTCACTTTGTTTGTTATATCGTAGGTACTATGACTAGATTGCGGATTTTTTTACATTTATAGGATATTTAGATAGAAGTATGAAGGATACAAAGGTAAAATAAAGAGTTTGTCGTGGTATTTAATTACGCCAATAAAAAAAAAAAATAATGCATAAAAAAATCCGCAGTTTAGTAACCTATTTATCACGGTTCTTGATTTTTATTTTTCAAATCAGGATGAGAAATTGCAATCAGTTATTATTCTTATTTTTATAAAGGTAAGTAAATTCTCCATTGTGTTCAATTAAACAGTAAATTTTTGGGCAAATAAAATGTCAAAACGCTAAAAAGAATAAAGTACAAAGAATTAAGTTTTAGAAACTAGCGTGGAAATGGTAAACTAAAGAACAAGAATTGGCCAAATTGAAAATATCGTTCTGCTTTTTAAATTTGATATTGGCAGTAAATTTTATAATTCGTACCTTTCTGTAAGTGACAGAGGAGACTCGCGGGGGAAGCTTTGGACTTATTCCTCCCAGCGCTGCTTTCACTTCTAGCGAAGTGGAGAAATTGCCGGGTGCGAAAGTGTTAATCAGAAACTGCTTTGGACACGGAGTTAAATACGCTACAAAGAAAAAAAAAAAAAGGAAGAAAAAACAAGAGAAAAGACCTCGTCGCAATACTCCGGAAAGGAAATAAATAAGAACCGTAAGTTCGAGTAAAAAAAATCGAATCCAAATCCTTTGAAAAGGAAAGTGATAAAAAATAAAAGAAAGAGAGAGAGAGAGAGAGGGTTTCAAGATCGTCTAGATGATAAAGAATCTGCCGAAAAAGCAAGAGAATCGGAAAATGGTGGGAACGTGGAACGGTAACAGACAAGAAAGCAGACAGTCGTGAACAGAGACAGAGAATTTTAATAGATTTAATTAATATTTCATTTGCATGCTATTCCTCACCCTACCGACGAGTTTCGTTCCATTCTCTCTGCAACTGTGTGCGATGGTACTATGCGCGCTGTTCCGACCAACACGTAGACGAAAAAGGTACAGAGTACAGAGCCATCCTGGTCGGAGGACTCGGCAATGTAATCCGTGAGGGAATAGTAGAAATTTCGTTGCACACACATTTTCAATGGGAGGTGCCACCTTCGTACGGAGAGTAAAATAGAGATAGAAATATATAGGGTGTCGGCTAACTAATGGTGATGTACAGAAATAAGATAATTTTCTACCAGAAGATGAATACTTAAAATTGAAAACTTGAAAAGAATTTATTTCCTCTTCTTATTGTAATCGCTAAAACTCATTTAGTCAAGTATTTATTTTTCTAAATCCACGTTATGTGGTGATAAGTGGAGGAAATTTATACAGAAAACTAAATAATCGTCATTAAATACATAATATGCGAAGTACTCTTTTTATCCTATAAAACCTAATTCGTGACTAGGATTATCGAGCCAATTCAGAAACGCGCATATTATATGTATTTACATGCCATGAATAAGTCAAAGCTGTCACAAGCCACAGGAGGCAGGTGTAGTAAATCAATTACGAATACTGTTTACGATCGTTCACCTTCCAAAGGTTTAAAACGTTTAAAATAATGTAATAAGCAATTTATTATATAACGAAAGTTCGGTTTTTCGATTTTTTTTTTAATGCAAGTACTATACACACAGATGTAATTTAAATTACCGTTGTTAATTATTCTTCATTTGTTTTCTAGCCAAGATCTGCGAACCGTTTAAGAGTCTCAGGCCATCAGTTACCAGGGACACCCTGTATACGGAGAAGTCAGAGGGAGGTGGGGCACAGGGGACGATGCGGTCCTCTCGCTGTATTTCAATTTAGCACGTCCATTGTTAGATACTAATATTATTCAGTTGGGAATTGTTTCGTGACACCCCTCAGGAGTACGATTTGCACGAACCGCTGGTGTCTGTGGCCTCCGGTGTCTGTTCTATTACTCTGTTTCTACCCCTCTCTCTCTCTCTTTCTCTCTCTCTCTCCTTCCTCTTTTCGTTGTTTCCCTCCTTCTTTCCCTTCTCATCATTCTCTTTCTTTCTCTCTTCCTCTCCTCTCTCTTTCAACCCCCGCGTCCCGCTATCCTCTGTCCTGTTTCATCCCGAATTCTCATCGAGACCAACCACCCCGCTTTATAACCCGTGGAAGATAATAAAGTATTGCCCAATGAAATACCTCGATATATACCTCGACAGAAGTAGAGGTGAAGCGGTTCACAAAGAAGCGGCCGCGTATTCACGACAATTTCTGAAACGTGGCGGCGCGTTTCTAGCTTTGATTTCCAAATGAGAATGTTCCAAACTGTCCCAAAATTTGTACGTGTTAGGTAGATGTTTCTTTTCTCCATTCCTCTGGTTTAACGTTGCTTTACAATTTTTGCTATTTAGAATATTTCGCGCTTACTTCGTCCCTGCCAAAAGTCAACATTTTCAATATAATATTGCGCAACACTATATTTGTAAATTTGTAACAACCAGTGTGTCTCGAATGCGACAATCTCTCTGTCTGTCTCTGTTTCAGTCATTTAAAATGCAAGGAAGAAGGGACCTGTAAGAAAAACAAGTAAAAAAAGAAGAAGTCAAGGAAAAAGAAGAAGAAGAAGAAGAAGAAGAGACAAACATAACGTCTGTTTGCCCGACGTTCGGCAACACTATACACTCTTCGCTGATCCGTGACGAGGATCCGGAGGATCCAATTCAGGATTGGCTTCCAAAACGCGCACTTGAGCCAACCACGAGCAAATATACGCGGCTGCACACACCACACGTGTACACGGTCGATACAGGTAGAGAGTGAAGCTCGGTGATCCCGGAGAGGTGAACACAGGAGTGGGTGTAAGAGGAAGGGGGCAGTGGAGTCAGAGCAAATATTGATGGAAGTCGAAAAAATTTTAAAAGCCATACCAACCAGACCAGTTCGCTTGTGTTTCGCCGCTTTTCCGCGGGATCCGTGCTTTTTTTTAAGTATTCGACAAATATCGATGTTTCCATTGATTTTCGATTTTCGAGCGTGATCCCGTTCTCTGTTCCACCCTCCATTTTTTGCCTCTCTCTCTCTCTCTTTCTGCGTGCGTTTTGTATTGAAATTTTTTTACTAGCGTCATCTTTCTTTCAGTTTAGAAAAATGCTTTCATACTTTTTTGGAAGGGGCTGGGAGAGGGGGAGGTTGTATAGTTGTATTGTCAGGCTATGAAGTTCGATACCGATATCCTAGGTATATGCAGAAGTTTTATTGAAATCTGAAAATGGATCGTGAAGAATGCAGTGTGTTTTACTGATTGTTTAGAAAGAAAACGTGGTTCTGAAACAGTAGTGTCATATTGTGACTAAAGAATCCATTGTAGATATACTTTTATGTATCATGCTACATAGCAATTCGTTCATTCCTTCATCGAATCACCTTCTGTCCTCACTAGTATCTTCCCTGTAATCTCGATGGGTTTCTCTACTGTTCCCCTTTCAACAGGACCTGTTCCCAAGTCTCTAAACTCTGTTTCTCTCCAAATCCTCTCGTCACAATTTAAAATTCTAAACTTCGGTGGAAATTAAGTGTATGATAATTTCAGTATTATTGTAAAAGCGATCCGAGAAGATAAACTCGCTACCTGCTATTTAATAATTCTAACAAAAAGGAGCCTTTCTTTCATTTCAGTAGGTACAGTTTTTTCTTACTTACAAAAATCAGTAGCATCTTCTAAATCTTTTAACCATTATGCATGTGGCCATTAAACGTTACAATGGTAAATCTTCTGAATGGTTTGCCATTGCTAAATATTAGACGAAAAATATAAAAATTGCCATTTACATAGTAGGTACAATGATATTAAAGCAGAAATGTTGAAATTTCACCTGGTGACAGGTTTTTAATTGGAATAAATAAAAGGCAAATAGAAATAGAGAGATAAACAGAGAGAGAGAGAGAGAGGTATTGTATACAGAAGCTTGGTAGTATACGGCGATGGGAGGGGGGAGGGTTGTTGCACTATGACTGCGGATTAAACCCCCGGGCCGGCGGCGGCTTGGCTACGGAACGACGGAAGGGGGGCCATTATACTCCATTATGAATGGTAACCAGTAGCCAAAGGAGGAAACTCCGCGGGGTGTCGATATATTGCCACCCCTTGGAGCCAGCCAGCCATCGCTCGTAAATAATAAGCGGGGCCGCGGCAGCATTATAATGCAACCGCGTGCACCGCCGCCAGCCAGCCAGCCAGC